GGAGCGGGCAGAGGGCTTGGTTCCTCCTGACCCGGCAACAGACACGGTTGTGGCTCAGCCACCCCCATGGCATCCTGGCACGGGGCACCCTTCAGGAGGCCTGTGTGGGACTCCCAGACCCACCCTGTGTGGTCTTTTGCAGCCCTTCCCCCAGCTGGGCCTGCCCCAACCTCAATCTCTGTCAGGAAGTGGACAGCCTCCGGGAGGGTCACCAGGCGGTTCTGGTTCAGAACAAGCTTCCTCAGCTTCGGGCACCTGCGAGGACAGGGCCAGTGGGGCCTCAGGAGGTGACAGACAGGGGAGAGGTGGGGAAACTGCCAGTCCTGGCAGAGGTGAGGCAGGGAGGGCCAGAGGAACCCCTCCCTGCCGGGAGATCACCCCTGTGGCAGCGTGACCTCCAGGAGGGGATGGAAGCAGCACCGCATCCCACACTCAGGTGGCACTGACCACATGGTCTCCCTCCACGAAGGCGAACCAGCCATGTCCACCCCAGATGATGTACAAAGGCCACAGGTGGCCTCCGACGACATGGGGTTTCGGTGCTGGGTCCCCCTGCGGCCGACCCTGCCCGGCACCTGCAGAGACTTTCGGGGATCAGCTCCAGGTTATTGTTGGCGGCCATGAACTCTTCCAGGCTGGTCAGCTTGCCGATGCCCGAGGGCAGCCCGTCGAAGTCCAGCTTGTTGGAGTTCAGGTAGAGCCTCTTCAGCTTGGTCAGCTTGCAAATGGCCGACTGGAGAGGGGAGAGGGGAGCCGGGTGGCGGTGGGTGGTCAGGGCGGGGCCCGGGCCCGCCCTCCCCTGCAGGGCCCCGCACATACGGGCAGCGAGGTGAGCTGGTTGCGAGACAGGTTCAAGGTCTCCACGTGCACCCACTGGTCGATGCACAGGGACAGCTCTGAGATCTGGTTGCTGCTGAGGTTGAGGCGGCGCAGGCTGGGGAGGGTGTACAGGCACTCGGGCACCCGTGTCAGGTCGTTCCAGGACAGGTCCACGTCTGAGAGAGGGATGGGCCACGTCAGCCAGGGCCCTACTGCAGGCATGGGGGCAGCCGACCCCAGTGGGAACCCCAGCTCTGCCACCTCCAGCTGTGTGGCCCTAGGCAAGTGACAATCTGTCTTTGCCTCCCCCCCCCCCCGCGCCCAGATATAAAGACAGGGGACGCAATTCGACGCCACTCAGCCATCACAATAGCCACGGGAACAACCGTGCTGTGTCCTGTGCCCACTGGGGAGTGGCCCGAGGAGCAGGGTTCAAGGCCCTTCATTCATACAGAAGTAAGGGAGCCCAAATGGGACCGGGATTGGGGCTGCCCCACCTGCGAGGTTGCTCAGGCCCTCCAGGCTGGTGGGGAGGTTGCTCTGGGTGCGCTGGGTGTTCCGCAGGTGCAGGGTCTGTAGGGCTGTCATCGCTGGGAGTTGCCTGCCAGGGCAACATGAGCGTCAGAGTGGGCGGCAGCCCCAGGGGCTGTGTGTGGGTTCTGTAGGGGCAGGTCAGGGTGCAGGTCATGTCTGCCTGAGGAGCCGGGCAGAGGGACTGCAGGGTAGGGTAGGCAGGAGGACAGGACAAGGTGAGGGACAGAATAGGCCTGAGGGCACAGCTGAAGCACAGGGTAAGGCCAGGCCTAAGGGGGAAGGGCCAGGGCGACTTCCAGGGAAGTGAAGGGGCCAGGCGGGACTGCCAGGCTGCATCTACCAGGGTACGGCCTTGGGTGCTCACCGGAGCTGCGCGTGCAGCAGCGGGTTCCCGTTGAGCACCAGCGTCTGCAGGTGCACCAGGCGGCGCATCTGCGGAGGCAGGCTCTCCAGGCGGTTCTCGCTGAGGTCCAGGTACAGCAGGTCCGTGAGGTTGATGAAGAGTTGGTTGGGGATGTTGTCAATGCTGCAGGGAAACGAGGAAGGCAGGGCTGCCTGAGACAGCGGCAGGCACCCAGGCCCCGCCCTCACCCCAACCCCGGCCCTTCC